TTTTTAGGTACTTTTTGCCATTGTTAGGGCGCACGTGCCGCTATCTCGAGGATAAATAAGTGCATTGTTTCGGATATAACGATCGTTGCATTTTTGGAATACTTGGAATAGGCAGTGTGAGACCACAAATGAGGATAGTTACATACATAGTAGCAAAGACTGGATATCGTATACCCTTTACAAAAAGAATTCTGTGATAGTTACTTGCTTCCTAGTGTTCAAATTAAATAAAGCATTAAAAGTACATTGTTTAAGCATAGTGATTGAATTTAACCATGGCAATTTTTCTGCTGGGTAGAAACTTCAGAGTCAGGCCGAATACCGTTAGAACGGAGAGTCACCCTATACATGCAGGTGTCCCTCAAGACAATGTTCTAGGACCCTTATTGTACGTAATATACACTCGTGATTTGCCAACTGATGAAACTCTAACCATTTCAACATTTTCTGATTACACAGCTATCCTAAGCAATAGCTCAGACCCTAAAGAGGCTTCTTCCAAGCTGCAAGAATATTTGATGAAGTTAGAGCTTTGGCTGGGTTCTTGGAGGATAAAGGTTAACGAGAGCGAGTGTGTTCAGACAAAATTTACTTTGAAGAAAGAAACTTGTCCATGACTAAAGGTTAAATTAGCCATAGCCATAACCATTACCTTAACCGTAACCACATTAACTATCATCGATTATAGGTATCATAACCATAAACAGCTGATTTTTCGTAGTCAACAGTGTCGGTGCTGCCAAACATAGAACAAGATGCGGAAAATTTTGTAATGTCACTATCTCTAAGTTAACACTAAATTCTTAAAACTCAACAGCAGATCATAATTAAATATGTGCACCAAAATAAAGGTAGTAACTTGTACTTCCTTAATAATATAAATTTCTTTTGCCTTAATTATGAAATTTTGTTAAAAAATCTTATTTTATGAAAAATACGATTTTTATTTAGTTTTTTAGTATTTTTGGATCATAAATATAGAAAAGTATATAAATTATGCACATCAACTGAAAGATAAGTTAATTGTCTTTATTTTGACATCATTAGATTTTGAATCGGTTGTGTAGTTCATAAGTATTAAACAAACAAATTTAAATAAATTATAGTTCAACCGTTTATATATTCTTTATCTTTTCGCGCCAAATAGTTTTGGTACTGTTGAAATCAGCGTGAGAATTTCTATCGAGCCACATTTTTGATTTTTGCATAGCTAAATGGTTCATATTCTATACCTATGATAAAATGTTGGCTGTGAACAAGTTTTTTTTTTTTTTAACGTTTGGCAACACGTTCTTACTCGCACTTCAGACATCAGCTGATTATTATGGCGGAAAACCAAAATTCAGTTGGTCTCTATGGCCATGGTTATGGCTTTGGCGTTATGGTGTGGCATCACTAATTTAACCTTAAAAATAAATAGTAAGGCTATACTATAAAAAGATTGTGTCACGTACCTCGTGATGACACTAATAAAATTATATAGAAAAAAAATCTCAAATGAAACTCGAACAAGCAAGCCTTCAATGGGTTATAGGACACAAATCTAGATTAAGCCTAGATAGCAAGATGTAGCTTTTTAATATAAAGATTAAACCATTTTGGGCATATGGAATCCGGCTTTGGGGCACAGCGTGCAATTTCATTTTGGACAGACTATAAAGACTGCAGTCAAAAGTTTTACGCGCCATATGCGTAATGTAAATACGGTGCATGAGGACATAAGAGAGCTAAGCACCAGTTACTCAGCACGGTTAATGAACCATTCAAATCGACTAGCGAGAGATATTCTTAGCCCGAGATATGCAAGAAGACTAAAAAGAGAATTTTTCCGATATTATCAAATAATGCGCAATTTAATAGATTTGGATACCCGCAATATATCAATTTCGGCTCTGGAACTCGTTATTTCAGACTGAATACCCAACACGAAATTCAGTGGCCGTGCGGCTCGGAAACTTGTCCGTTCCGACCGAGCACAGCCTACTGGATTGTAATTACTTGAATAGAGAGAAGCGAAAGCGCGGCGTGGAAACTAGTTCTTTCCACCCGCCCAGGCAGTGCAGCTCTGGAACTCTAAGCATTTTCGCAGATAATTTAAATTTAATAATGGTTTGGAAGATTTGAAAACTTTTTGTAAGTTCCGAAAGAAAGATTGAATGAATGCATATTATATAAAAAAAATTTAACCGTAGACCGAGAACAAAAGGTATTATCGAAATTAAATATCGTTCTCGTAGTTTTGTTCCAAGAATACTTAAAAACCTAAACCGAAAGGAGAACAAAATTTTCAGGAGGGTTTTTACAAAAACGAAAGTTAGAACAAAACTATCGAGAAGGTTTTCAACGCGAACTATATTTGAACAAAATCCTGTGGAACGTTCCTAAAGAGAAAAAAATGCGAACAAAAATCTAAGGAATTTTTTTTCGACGAATAATTTTGGAACTAAAGTCCCATGAACTTTTTGAAAAAGAACGAAACAGGAACAAATCTTCTCTAAACTATTCGCGAAGAATGGTAGCGAGAGCAAAATTTTTCTCATACCGTTCCATTAGTTTAAAACGTCTGAATGTTAAAAAGAACTGAGATAATTATGTTTGCAAATTAAGTGAACGAAAGACTTAAGACACGAACTTTTCGTGTGCAGAAAATTAGAAAATGTTCACCCTTATAATCTGGAAGGATAATAAATATCCTTCATAGATTATAATGGAAGTTGAAATGATCCAGCTATTTTCTGGCTTAGACGCCAATCCATTCATAAGGTTAAGTTCCTAAAAGACTTTTGTTCTTATTTGATCCTCCCGGAAAACGTTCTCGATACTTTCGTTCTCATTGGAAACGTTCCCGAATCTTTTGTTCTCGTTGAAAGTGCCCTCAATACTTTTTTTCCCGTTTGGTTCTTCTGTGGGAAAGAAAACGCTATTGCATTCTTTATCTATTCATATTGCCTAATGATTGATATTTTTTACACCCTCTAAATTTAGATTCTGTACCGTTTTTATCTTGCTCTGAAGGGTGTATAATTTTTTCCATTACCACCTTGTTTTCTCACATTTTTGGCCAGCTGCAATGCAGATAGCAGTGGGATATGTGCACTCAACATCCTACTTATGTGTGTATATTTATACTACAATTTCTGAGCGTGTTCAAATTGCCCATGCATCCATTGCTTCAGCCATTTCAGCAATCACTGCAATTACTTGTTCACATTCGGTGGTGCTGTTCTTCGTGATTTCGCCCCTGCGGGCAGCAGAAAATATGTTTATTTTTTTCTTGTTTGGATTTCATATTTTTATCAGCTATTTTTGCTTTCTTTTTTACAATTTTAAGTTATTTAATAGAAAGCAAATCGGCAGCTAAGTTCTCAGTTTTTTTTATATTGACAATACGCCATTAAATTTGCCAAATGATCACATATTTTGTAGTAATGAAGTAAATTTATGTTGCTAGTCAAAAATTCAATATAAACGAAAGTTTAGTAAATATACATACTTTCATAATATATCTTATAAATTCAGCCGACATAAAGTTCGAAAGTTGTTAATGCGCTTTCACAGATATGGTTACACATAGTCTACTGTACTAAATACAAATACCTGCTATTATTATGCTAACGGCATCACGATTAAGCTACCACCCACACCCTTTCAGCATTTGCAATACTGCTACATACACTGCCACAAGCACCCTTTGACACTGTTGTACATAAACTTTTTATATGTATGTAATTTCCAATAAGATTAATTTTAAAATTAAGTTTATTATTTAAAGAAAAACTAATTTTATTTACATGAAATTATATTTTGTAAAAATTATAAAAATCACATTGCCACTCCTCTTATGTACTACTTACAAACTACATACAGTGCCGAACAGAAGTATTGGCACAGTGAATTTTTCGCAATATATGCAAAGTTTTTCATTCTAATTTATTTTCGATAATTTTTTATAAAAATATTGTTCATTCTACACCAGACAACATAATAATAAAATTTCTAAACTTTGTGCAAAACTTAGGAAAGTTCACTAAATTTGCACACTAATTTGCAACTTTTTATTCAGATTTTTTAGAAAAATTCTAAGTATGCAGTTTTATAGTCCAATCAAATTTAGTATAACAAATCAAAAATCAACGCGAGTTTCTAGCAACTTTAAACTTGAATTTTGTCATTCTAAAATTGAATGCACTATAAAACTGCATATTTAGAATTTTTCTAAAAGATCTGAATAGAAAGTTGCAAATTAGTGTACAAATTTATTGAATTTTCCTGAGTTTTGCGCAAAGTTTAGAGATTTTATTTTTATGTTTTTTTTTGGTGTAAAATGAACTATATTTTTATAAAAAATTATCGAAAATAAATTAGAATAAAAAACTTTGCAATCATTGCGAAAAATTCACTGTGCCAATACGTTTGTTCGTCACTGTATGTATTTATCTACTACATACATAAAATACTAGAATTTCACTTGCCACATTTAACTAATTCCACTCTTTGTTTGTTTTTTCCACCCACCTCATGTTGACGCCTACGTTCGTGTACATGAATGCAACGTAAAAAACAAACAACTCTCTTTTTCTTTTCTTCTCTTTTTTCCCACACATCCTGATGATATCCGTGTCATCCCCCTATTTCATCCTCTGTATCCTGTGCAGGTGATCAGCCACGTCGCGGACAGCAGAAAGTTGATTCATATCAACGTCTCTTCGGCGAGCCCGAGCGTCCAGTCACTCCCGCCAGGAATCACATGAAAAGCAACATTCCATTTGGTTCGAATACTGAGGCCGCCCAAGAGTTATTGGCCAATGGGAATGGTCATCACAGCAATGGCAAAGGGGGTTCGGTGTCAACCTCAACATCGTCCTCGGTATCGTCGTCCACTGAGAATTTGAAGATGATGAATGGTGTCTCAAAAACAGGTGAGTCGATGAAAATTTCTAAAGCCACATACTGTGTAGTAGTTTTTAAGGTATACATATATACACATATCGTCACTAGACACGAATGAAGGCGCGAGCTCAAAAGTTGACCGCGAAGAAAGACTCTTAACATAGTTGACGGCGAAGAAAGACGCTTTAAACTATTTAACGGCGAAGAAGAACGCGTAAACTTATTTTCGCGGTCAACTATGTTTGCGGGTGTAACAGTAGCTCTGATCCAATACTTTTCGTATAAAATCCTGTAAAAATGTCAAACAGCAAAATTACTCTCTAAAGTGAGAGTAAAAAGAGAGTAACAACAAAAAGTACGGGTACAAAAAAAGCATTTTTACCTTCCTTTTATTAGCTCGGGATGTAACTATGTAATATTGATGCGCCTAAAAGATGCAGCAATTTCTATTCTCAAGTTACATACCTGATGAGAGTACGAATGGCAATTATAATAGGGAGGTTTTAGTTTTTTTAACTATAATTTTATTCCTGTAAAAACGTCAACCAGTGATCGCTTGACACTTTTCATGATTTCATGTAAAAATTCGGGTAATATCTTGCACTTCATTCTCTACACAACTCTCCAAAAATCGCTCTCACTTATAGGATTTTGTAGGAATTTGGAGTACGGGATCGTTATTCCTGTAGCTTCCTGCAAGTTCGTGTAAAAACCTGTAAGTTCATGGAGTACTGGATCAGAGCTAGTATGTAAATTCCCCAAAGAGATTTGGGGAATGATGCTAAGGGGACAGTCTTGGCCAAGTATAAGTCTATGATTACGCGTCTTTCTTTGCCGAAGTTTTTCTTCATCGCCTTTATTCACACAAATTATTTTTCGCGTCTTTTTTCGCCGTCGAAACACTAGCGCGCCTTTATTCGCGTCTAGTGACGATATATGCTAAGTTTAGGGAAAGAAAAATGATAAGTACTTGCATAATTTGTTAAGATGAAGCTATCGGGCGAGTTTCGAGTTAGTGTCTGTGAATTTTCCTCAAGATTCATAAAATTTAGTACGCGGAGCCAAAAACATTTCATAAGGTGGTGGGCGTCATAGTAAGAAACTCTTTGTTATCTTCCAAATTGCAAAATTTTGCCGTGTACACCGAATTTCATCAAGAAACATTTTTTTTAATTTGTGCCTCTTTTTCTACAATTGGTGGACGATAATGTAAATAAATTTTGATGTTCATGCAGATTTATGATTTTATGGTTAGAACCAGCATGTAATATGAATTTCATCAAAATCGGATAACATTTCCTATTTCCGCCCACAAGAGCTGTGGGCGTGACATCGCGTCGACATATACCTTTTTTCACATTTCTTCACACTTTAGTGCAGAATAGCGCATATACGAAATTTCAGGGAATTTGTAGGACGGTTACTACTTTTGGCCGCATATTATATGGAAACGGTCCACTGTGCAGCGTTGTCACGATTTTTGACAGAACGAACGTTTTTTGTTTCCCCTTCATGATCAGTTTAAAAAATGTTTCAAGTTTCCAAAATTACGAATATTTCATGCAATAAAAGTATAAGGAATTTTTTTAACATTTGTCGCATATTTTCGCACCTTGTTTCTGAATAGCTGCGAGACGTCCTTGATTTTTCAAAGGGCCTCTAGAAGGTTTTTTTCATATGTACATTCGAATTAAGAATGTAGTATCCAATACAAAGTGTTATACAGTAGAATCAAAATGAATGGTATGCCTTTGTTGGTTCAATCGTGTCCTTTGCTTATGTGAAAGCCACTGTGCCTATTCAAATGAAACAAGTTTGATACAACTTGAAAAAAATCCAATTGGAGGTGTTTTCTCCGGTGACAGGTAACAAGTTCAACGGAAATAAGGTCAATTGACATTATTACCTTTTCAAAAGCGAAATAAAATCCTTTGACATTATTGCTCTTTTTTGATTTTTTTAAATATAAAATCAGCGAATTTCTAATTTTTTATACAATTTTAATAACCCACAGTATTTTCGTGCGGAACCCGTTTTTGCATAAGCGGCCTTCGGCTGCGCTTAAAAAAAAAAAAGATAACCTTTCCCGGACCAACACCGGCCTTGCTATCCACAGTATCTTTTGCAGATGGATTTTTTTCATAATTTTTCCCGGTTTTCCCACTTGACAAGACAGCGAAATACATGGTCGGAATTTGTTGGCTCGGTTATCGTAATCTCCCCTACGCAGTTCTTGCAACATCGCTTTTTTCAAAATGCTTTCTTAGCTCTCATGGCCTAAGGACATGGTGACATTATAAACAGGTGAAGTAATAAATTCGCCCGCTTTATTTTCCTGACATTCGGCTATCTTATGGTGATTTCGTTTCTACGAAAAAATGTCGCCTTTTGATTGCCCCTTTCTCTGTTTGTGTTCGATTCCAAATTAAAGGCGGAGGGTGAGAAAATTGTTTGTTCGTTTCTTAAAATTTCACACTCTTGTAAGGCAAAAAGGCACACTCTCTGCCCTGTAAAGCTTTGTCAGGGGATATGGTTGCCCTGAAAATCAGATGATTGTTTAAAACGACAGTATTATGAAAAGCTTGAGCCAAACACGGACCAGTAGGGAAAAACACATTTTGCACCGAAGAAGAACAACATTTTTTGGAAGAAACGAAATCACCATTATGGAAATTTTTAAAGGCAAATTTTCAAATAAGATAGTGTAAAATCTTTCTTCTCGCCCTAATTACTACACCTGGTATAATTTCACCATGGCCACAGGCCATTGGCCCCAAATTTGTGATTTCATTTTTTCCAATGCACCTGTCTTTGCCCTTCCATATAACGTTATTGCCATACAAATTCAAAGCATTGGTTTTTAACTCATAAATATATCAAATCAACTTCAAAACAAATCCATTATAAAAGTTTGGAAAGTAAAAAAATCAAATTATTGACATTCATTAAATAATTTTAAAAATAAAATTAAAAATAATTATTAGCACAATATAAATATATTTTTAATTAGAAGAATTGAAAGAAATAGTACAAAATAGTTTGTGAATTTTGTTCAACGTCCATTTTTTGCACGCCGCAATTTATATTGAACCTGCCTATCACCTATCACCACTGCCAATCAACACTCATATCTACATACATATCTCCACGTGTTACGAAAACAAGTCTTTCGCAAAATGAGCAGTAAGTAGTGAAAACAAAAACTTTAATACAGCGCTCATTGATTTTGTTACATATTTTAATGTTTATCCCATTGTTCTTCATTGCTAACGTCCATTTAATCACCCCCAATTCAAATTCCGTTCCTTTGGCAATAATCTCCAATCAATCCAGAACCCGATGAAGCATGCCCACCACTGCCTGTAGCCGAAGCTAGCTTTACGCCCACCTCCAATACGCCACAACTCAGTATTGATTTGCCATGTGAGGATAGTAGATCGCCTGGCAAACATGATGTCAACGATTTGTCGGCACGTTCGCGCGCCACGACAAGGGAAGGTGACACCGCGCGTTCTAAAATGAGCGAACATCCTGTAGCCGCGGCACGCTCCATAGCTTCCACGGCCGATCACACCCAACGGTTTAGTTCCTCGGCAAAGCACAGTAATATGGGTGCCGGTGACGTGGGTTCGCAAACGCGTCGTGATGCTGGTATAAATTCAAATAGTCCAAACTCCTTTTCAAAAATGACGCCACCCAGTAGTAAGCGCATAGAAGTGCTGGAAGTATGTGACAATCGCGCACCACCTGCACCAACGCCACGCAATCCCATCACCGGATTGGGGTTGGGCGAAGATGGTGTTGGAGGCATTAAGCCGAAGAAGCCAAAGGATCGTCGAGGTTTGCGGGGCGGGAAAAACTTAATTACTTAGTTTTCGAAGTTGTTGCGACTGAACTAGGAAATTTTTAAATCGTTAAAAGATTGGAACAGTTGCTTAACCAAAAAGAAAAGTTTTAAATTTCTGCATCCTCGTTTTAAAGTATGGCGATACAACAAAGCTAGACAGCGTTTAGCCAGCCTTCAAGTACATATCCAGGCAGGTTCTGCAATTCACTTCGGTGTGAATTTCAATCTATTTCGCTTTGTATTCAAATTGGCACTGGTTGAAATTCGCTCGGAAGTGATTGCAAAACCTCACTAAAAGTCACCTGAAATGCAAACGGACGTAACTAGATAATATTTTTTTTTTTACCGGGCAACAAAAATAAAAAATTTAAAAACACACGAAACAATTAGTACTATATTAACGAGCTATAGGTCATATATTAGAAAAATTGCGTTTTTAGCTTTTAAACGTTATGATTATTAAAAAATATATATATTTAAAAAATTCTATGCATTTTAGAATAACAATATGGGTGTCAACTAAAAGAGAAAATTCTCTAGAATTAAGTATTGGAAATGCCCTTTTAATAAAGAAATTCTAGGCTGTGGTGGTATTAGTCCTTAACATATTATTTTTTTACAAAAATAAGTACTGTAAATTTTCAAGGATATTCAAGGATAAAATTTTTAAAAGAACATTTTCAATTTATGTGCCAACAAATTTTATATATGTATTTGAATTCGACAGAATTGTCTCTTTTATTTGATACCCATATTGTCATTCTGCATTGCGGTGAATTTTTTTAATAATTTCTTGAGTTATTTACCTCTTTGAAATTTCAAAGACCTTTTAAAAAAATACCCACGTCCGAGAGAAAAATTATAAACGCAGTATTGTTATTTTTGTTTAAAGTTGACTGGCGCACAGTGTTATCATCCCCATCCAAAATTTTAAACATGACGCCCTTCAAAGTGCTTGACTTCTGAAATAGCCTAAGGTTGGAGTGTTTACAATCAGGGTTTAGCACAATAAATTTTTTTTTTTGGTCACCCGAATGGGATTCCATCAAACATTTTTTGCAATACAGCGACATAAAATTCTCAGTCCAATAGATAAGACCAAAAAAAAAATAAAACCCTCTTATTTTCTTTTATTATTTTAAGTGCAATTATTTGCATTCTTGTGTAATAAGGAGATATTGTGATTATATTCTGAAACAGAAGAGTGAGAGTGATTAAGACCGTAAAGCAATCTAACCTGCAGTAAATAGTCCTTCAGAATTACTTATTCCTATCCTATTAACTTTTTTTATTTAAAGTACGCCTTTAGTAATTTTCCTATTATTTCCATATTCATTTAATTAGTTACATTTCATTTTTAAATATAATAAATAACATTAACATTTTTTAATATTATTACCTAATTCGTATTTTTTATATTTTCCTTCCTCTAGATGGCAATCCCGTCACCGGCGAGGGTTATAAGCCCAGCAACTCGTTCAACCATTCAGTGCCCAGCCTGAATGGTGCCAATCAGGTCATCAATAAGAATCGCATTCCACCCGGTGGATTCTCATCAGGTCTTTGGTAAATAGAGTTTATCGCCTGTGTATTGTTCGTTCCGCGTTTAGGAAAAAAACCAACAGCAGAGAAGCGAGGGTCTGAGATGAAGTGATGAAACCGAAAAAGGATAAAAAAAGAGAACAATTATATAACAACACACAACCAACCAACACACAAAGAAAAACTAAACTAACCGAACATCATCAAAGCATATATACGATGAAAAAATGCAGTTAAAGCAGCATTAAATCCTGCATGTTTTTATAACGATAAAGCAACGGATGGATGGATAGATGGATGAATGATGAGTAGCTGCGGTGGATATAATTGACAGTGTGAGGAAAGCAATTTAAGAAGAGAACCAGCAATGAGAAATAGGAACATTGAAAATTAACAAAATTTCCATTAAAAAAAACGGTAGAAACACAAATTATTGAAGGATGCAAGAATAATTAGTATTTAAGAGCTAATCAAGCAGAAATTTAGAAAACCCAGGACACAGACACACACACAAACACACGCCAACACTGTTTTACAGTAAAACAGAAAAGCATTTTATCCAAACATTAACGTACATAGTACATATGTATGTAGGTAATATGGTTACCAATGCGATGAACTCTCAAAAGTTAACGTCAGAGAAACTGGCAAGCGAGGAATAAGGGAAATGCAATCAAAAAAATTAATGCAGCAAAAAATTAATTAGTGTTTAAATGACATAAAATTAATAAAAATTAAAAACTTGAAGCAATATTGAGCAAAATGCAATTACATGAAATAAGAACAACTCTTCTGTGTAATAATATTGACAACAACTCTTCTACAAGTGACAAATGTTCATAGCAAAATTGAGTTTTATGCATTCAAGCATAAAATCTATAATTTTCCAAAATGTAAACAGCGCGAAAGACACAAAAAACTGCATGGCATTTGGCATTTTCGTACCATCAACATCAACACCAACACAAACACATTTTCAACTCGAAATTTTATTTTACATTACATGTCGTCAGTTTCACGCCTTCATCAATACTCCCTGCATACATACTTCACATATAAACACAACCTAAACGTGTACGAAAAATGTTCATTCAACGAACTGCAGCTCGAAAAAAAACAAACAGCTCAACGAACTTATACAAATGACGACGTCGATATATAGACGATTGAAAGTTGTTGCTTTAGAATTATAAAAAAAAAAAAACAGAAACTAAATTTAAAAAGTATTTGCTCAATTTAAAGCTGCAGTTTGTGGAAAAGGTGTATACAAAAAAAAAAGACACAATCAACAAGCATGAAGAAATTACAACAAAAATTATCGTAAATCCTTTTTAACCGTTTCTGTAGCCAAACCAAATCTTAAGAACATTTTACTTTTGGCACATTTCCAACTAGGCATAAATTAACCTGGATTCTATATGAAATGTAAACACTCACTCCTTCGATTAATAACATCCTCCGCTATATGTATCTACCTAACAATATACGCATACATACCACATCCATATCCTCATCCACACCAACGTTAATGAACTGAAGAATTATAAACTAAAAACAAGAACAATGAATTGTAAAATATTAATCACTACATCGTAATTTAAACAAACAATGATTTTCAAAAAAAAAAATATATACAAAAACCTTCATACCAGCATACATGCTACATACTCACAAACAACATACATTTAATCAATTACATTCATTTCTACGATATTTGAGATCATACATATTTAATAAATAATCATAAAATGCCTATGATTTGCATTCATTTATTTTAATTAATAATTATAATTATGTTCTCTCCTAATATATATTTTATATCTATGTAAAAGATACATTTATAAACAAAAAAA